CGTTGCTCTTTTCCATGCAATGGTGACCATAGGCTGTCAAGCTCCAAAAGGACAAAAAAAATCATAAAATCATAATGAAAGACTTGGGCGCAATATTCTAAGTCTTCTGAAGTTCTACAGGAATTTTGCAGTTTTGTAGGCCAAAATCTGGAGACAAATTAGAATTTTACCACATTCGTTTCCATCATGCTGATGGAATTTTTTGATTTTGGTTTTGGTTAAATGCCTGAAATAAGGTCTGTCAAGCAAGATATTTTCCGGTTTATTTTACGACAAATTACATCAGTAATACCCACTTGAGATTTTTTAAAGCTTTTGCTAACATGTGGCTACATAAGTGGGTACAACTTTTGCTACACAAACTTCATCTCACCGAACAGGAAAACTCATCCATTCAGTCTTCTGCTTGTACACTGAGAAAAAAAAATTTGCCGACGTTTACAGTAAAAAAAAACGACAGCTTTCGTTGCCAGAACTTCACCGCAAAAAAAATATGGTAGCAACATTTAAGGTTTTACAGACTTAACTTAAATTCACAATAAAAAACGTATTTCATTAACTGATGTAATGAACTACTAATATCTGTTTTGTCCCATTGTAATACACTGACAACCACCAAAAACAGGTGGTGATGAGAAAGTCACATGATGAATCAAAGCTCATCACAAACAGCTTTTCCACAAGCTGAGAAGGAAAAATACTAATATATAGAAGGTGCACAGTGTCATTCACACAAACACTAAACACCATCATGGTAACATGCATGACACTAAAATAATGCAATAAACATTAATTTAACAACATTAGATGTAAGATAAAATCCTAATGTACACAACCGAGGAGGAAAAACTAAAAAGAAACATGGTTATTAAAAAAAAAAAAAAAAACCCATCAAATATGAAGTGTCATGCAGGGAATTCTGGGATTGTCAATTTATGGTTTTTCACTGTAAATTATACAATGCCCTTTTCACTATCAAAAACTGTAATTTTAACAGTATTTTACTGTAAGATTACATTAAATGTTTTTCACCGTATCTAGTATGGGAACTTATTGTTAACCAATTAACAGGTTTTTACTGTAGCATTTTTACAGATTTTCCTGTTAAAATTACGATCTTTTTTTTTTTTTTTTTACAGTGTACAGCTTCATTGTGTTTAATAATCACATTCTTGCAAACTATTCTAACTTAAACTTACTGGGAAAATGTTTTTAAATAAAGACTAAAAGAGTCATGTGATTGTGGTGTAATTCATTTATAGCCTATGTTTGGCTTTTTACTTCCGGTGATATTGATGCTTCAGATTTTTAAATTGTGTTAATTTGTGAAGATTATCATGATGGACAAAACATGCAAAACAGCAATAATCCAAAAGTGAGATTTTTATTTATTTTTTGTCAGGGGAACCAGGGTGATGCGAACTTCTGAGCTGCCCCACAAAAATATGACACTCTATAATTTCCATGCTAATTAGACAGGAATTTAAATTCATTATTTATTAAAAAGCATGCTTATCAGCCATGGTACCCATTCAATTTCACTGTATCAAAAAACGGCAGCATGGACATTCTGAAAAATAACTTTTTTTTCTTTTTTTTTCCCCACGGAAGAGAGAAATTCATACAAGTTTATTGAGAAAGACATGACGAGTGAATGATAACACAATTTTCATTTCTGGGAAATTACTCCTTTAATAATCATAAAATACAACAAATGTACCTCAGAGGGAGCTCAGATTTCAGACACTTTTAAAAGCCCAATATGAAATAGATTAAATTAAGGCACACAGTACAATACAGGTCTTTGTACAGACAAGTGCCATGTTTACTTTTTGCGCCCACCCTTCTTGTTAAGGCTTTTCATAGTTGATCATGCACCTGCTTTTCATTTCCCTCCCAAAATTCCACATCAGCCTGTTGACAAATAACTTTACAACAGTTTACAATTCATCCTCATTCTATAAACAACTGAGGGTTTGAAGGGGCGAAGAAGAGTTTATAAAATGAGTTAGCAATGACGGTAATCCGTACCAGAGATGAAAAACTGCATCATGCAAGACCAGACGAATATTTATCAATTAATTTCATTGTTTCATTTGCCTAAAAAATAATCTAACTACACTAAAACGTCTCTAGGTTACGTATGTAACCATGGTTCCCCGAGGGAACGAGACGCTGCGTCGAGATCGCTTTGGGAACGCCCTTGCGTGACCGCGTTCTGAAGCACGTGTCAAATCCGTCCAATGGTGAAGTGAAACGCTGTGTGCTTGTAATAAACATATCTCCAAATCATTGTTTCCGGATTAAATATAAGCGCTCTAGTCATAATATTGCTTTCTCCAGTGAAAAAATCATCCTGTCTGAATCAGAAGAGAAATCTGCAGAGATCAAGCAACATTTACAAGTGAAAACAGTCTAAAATAGTTCTAAACAAATAAGTGGGGCGGATTACTTGTGGATTATTGTGATGTTTTTATCAGTTGTTTGGACTCTCATTCTGACGGCACCCGTTCACTGCAGAGTGATTTTTTTCTGTTGAAGTAACAAAATTTGTTCTGATGATCTTGGATGGCCTGGCGGTAAGTACATTTTCAGTTTTTCGGTGAACTATTCCTTTAATTCCATGTAACATGCCAATTCGTTGTAATTATTTGTGAAATATACTAGCAGTTTCTGAGTGAAAATAGTATCAAATTATATCCTACTCCTTTTTTTTTTTTTTTGGTGTATGGTGGCATGGACTCGCACACAAGCAAAGTCCGTGAGGCTATAAATCCACATTTAGGGTGTCATTTGAGAAATGGTCATTGTTAACTGTTCGTGATATGGTAGGTTGTGTTTGTTTGAAAATCAGGAACTGGCGTTCCTGGAGCTTCGCATCAGCTGCGACTACCCAAATTTGTGGCAGCCCAAGGCTCACGGTGCAGCCAGCCGTATCTTCCAGAACAGGCACTTTCCAAGCTCTCTTAACTGGGTCTGATTATTTTTCCACACCTTACAGGTTAAAACAAATGGAACTTTGACATGGACTGTATTTCTTACCAATATGGACTTGCCTGCGACTGCGAGTGTGTTTATTTTGAAGGCCAGCATGCTCTGATTCAGGTGCTGAATCTCATTCCTGCCCTGAGCTGTCTGGCTTCTCCAGCCTGTATTTATTCACAGCCTGCCAATTAGGCCGGCAAGTGTTCGCCCCAAAGACTGTTCTACCCCACTGAATCCAAATACGCCAAGTGTGCTTGTTTAGGCGTGGCCATAAATGTACAGGAGACCTGTTTTGAGTATCCTTCAGGAAAAGCCGTTGTGTCACGAGTCACTGACTAGGCTCTCGAAGTAAATGTGATTTATCACACAAGTCACACTTTTGCACGGACTTCCTGTACACTTTTGCAGAGATCAGTTTGAATGTTATTATTTTTCCATTTTATGATGCAGATTTTTAACGGGGATTTTAGCATTGCCAAGTAAAGTATCACATATATCACTCATGTAATTTTGGATTTTTTTGTTTGTCTTTGATTTAGAATAAAATTGTAATATTTAATATGGTGATAATTCAGCACCAAAGGAACACTACCATTCATTCAAAAGCTTAGGGGCAGTAAAATATTTCAATGTTTTTGAAATAAGTCTCTTATGCTCACAAAGGCTGCATTTATTTGACCAAAAATACAGTAAATGTGAAATATGATTACAATTTAAAGTAACTGTTTTCTATTTTATTATATTTTAAAATGTAATTTATGCCTTTGATGGCAAAACTGAATTTTTAGCATCCATCACTACTTCAGTGTCACAAGAGCTATCAGAAATAAAAAATCTAATATTTTACTAATTTCTCAATTTTTTACCAGTCAGAGAACAGAGTTTGAGAAATTTTGCATTACATCACTTGTTGACTAAAGGATCGCCTGCAGTGAATGGGTGCCGTCAGAATGAGAGTCCAAACAGCAGATAAAAACATCACAATAATCCACAAGTAATGTAAGTAATCCATGCATGTTTGTAATAAACAAATCCATTATTATGACTTTTTTAACCATCTTAATGGTCAAAAACCAGCTGTAATATGAGTCATCTAGTCTAATACGAGTCATGTAATACGTGTCTTCTGATTTAGGAGAGAAATATGCTCAGATCAAGCACCATTTACATAGCTGTTTAACATTGCAAAACGGTTCTAAACAAATATGTTGGTGAATTTTAATGTGAGAGGACAACAGGCGATGGATTTTTTCACTGGAGGAAGAAAAGTTATTATGGATTATGGTTATGGTATGATTGACTGGAGTGGTGTGGATTACTTGTGGATTATTTTGATGTTTTTATCAGATGTTTGGACTCTCATTCTGACGGCACCCATTCACTGCAGAGGATCCATTGGTGAGCAAGTGATGTAATGCTAAATTTCTCCAATCTGTTCAGATGAAAAAACAAACCCATCTACATCTTGAATGGCCTCAGTCTAAATTCTCATTTTTTGGTAAACTATTCCTTTAAATGTGTCACAGTGTACTGCCATTGTATTGAATTCCCCCAGCTTAACATTCATTCAATTATCTCCTTTTTTGTTCTGAAGAACAGAGAAGTTTGGAATGGCAGAATTTTCTAAATATGCTTCTTTTATATTTGAACTAGAAAGTGCTGTCATTTCCTCTTGAAATTGGTATGCTAAACTGTAACCGGCACAATATTTGCATTTACACAAATGAGAAAAAGTGAGCCTCTTTATGTTGCCGAATACATCATTTTGATTCAAATTTGACTGAGCAAATACACACTGGGCATACTGTAGAATGCTAGTTATGGAAGTCCCGTATTTATTCTATTACCGCAATGGTAGTATTTTGAGGCTTGAGAACCGCAAAGCTGTTGCACTGCTGTATCGTGCAGCACTAATTGCAGTATGTCCTTCAGCAGAAATAATTATACATGCAACATGATGCTATCCTATTTTCGACCGCTGCATGCGGCTGCCAAAGCAATGTGGTTTTCCATACCTTTTGAAAGAAGTCCTCACCTCCGTTGACTCGCCCCTCCGTGGCAGCTGCGGAGAAGAATGGGACATTTCAGAAAAAGCGTAACATCAGGAATCACTTATGCTGGCGTATTAACAAAATCAGCAATTCATATCAACACATTCTTCCACATGGCCTTGGGTGGAAAAATGTCTGTGCAATTTAGGCAGGGCGCATTTTCCTGTCCATTTGCAGCAAGTCGCCTCTGTAGAAAAATCAATGCATTATACTTTCTAAAGGTTTATGCAGTGTTGTAATAAATTTTGTGATACTACATTTAGAAGGTTTAAATGAAGTGTATCTTTTTAATGTAGATTGTGTGGTGCAGTGGGTAATGCTGTGGGTTCATTTGAGTTCCTATAGTTCTTCTTGAAGATCAGGCTTTCCAGACTTTTTGTCAGCTAAACCAGTTAGACATAAAATATTTACTTAAAGTAACCCCTGAGATTTTAAGTTAATATTTTAATAATTTAATGTCACATTTGCATGTTCATGGGTTGCTAATGGTCACATGACACACAAGTAATAATTTTTTAGCATTTTGAGTCCTTATTTTGATATAATTAGACTTAAAATATAGAAGTTATAAAATAAAAAGACAAATACATTACAATTGTCCTATAAAATAACAAATGAATACTTGACATTTATTTAATATTTATATAATAAAGATTTAATAAATTATTTTTATACATTTTTATGAATTATTTTATTTTACACTGCAAGTTACAATATTACTATTTATGTCTTAAATTCTTCACTTTCAAATGTTCAAATCTTCAAGCTTTTATTTGGGCAGAATACAGACTATATACTTAATTAAATCACAGCCTTTATTTTGATATTCACACTAAGCTTTTAAGATTTACATTTTTTTTTTAAAGATTTAGTTTTTATTACAATTAATTGTGCAGCCACCAGCCAGATTTTTTTAAATTGTATATTCAATTTAATTACTAGCTTTTCATCAACTGATTTGGGAAACCCTATTGTAGATCATGGGATTACCAATGGCAAGTGAATAAGGGGCCATTTACACGACAACGTTTTCAGCCAAAAACGCGAAAATTTTATGCGTTTTGCCTGTTCATTTACACGACAACGGCGTTTTGGGGACTGAAAACGCATATTTTTGAAAACGGGTTTCAAAGTGCACGTTTTTGAAATCGCCACCGTTATCGTTTCCGTGTAAACACTCAAAACGGGAATCTTTGAAAACAGTGACGTCATGCGCGTGCATAGTACGTGTTAGGTATGTAGACATGCACAGTACGTGTCAATTTTAAAGGCAAGCGCGAACAAACATACACAACAATGGCGGAATATATGATACTGTTGTTGATGCTCAAGAGTTTGCGAACATATACAACATATAGTCATCACTTCCCTACAGGTACTGTTTACTAACAAGGTGACAGCGCCAACTACTGGCCTGGCATACGTAATACAGCGTTTTTGGCCGTTTCGCGGATATGTGTAAACGCGAATTGTTTTAAAAAAGTTGTCGTGTATACGTGAAACTTTTTAAAAATGCAAGGGAAAATTTTTTCCGTTTTTGACTACACCGTTGTCGTGTAAACATAGCCTAAGATTCTCCACATCGACGTATACACTAAATTCACGGTTTTGTATAAAAGCATCTGCTAAATGTGAAAACGTAAATGTAACCCACATGAGACAAGTAAACTGACATGCTTGTTTGGTTTTCCAAGAACATATGATTTAAATTAATCAATAAAATACAAAACCATGTCTTGTTCAGAACATTTGGATGTTGTTTAAAGACTTCAAAACCACAAAATGCAGCTGTCGATAGACGTCTACAACTTTTTTAGTTCAGATTTTTCCAGATCAGGAACATTACCTACATTGAGAGATGCAGGCATAGTCTTGTTGGGCCAAGCTTTAAAATGTGTGTCCACTGTAATCCAGGCAAACGTGACGTGTTTATTTATATCCAATGAATTACAGGGAGAGTTTTTTTTCAGAGCAGATTGACTAAAAATTGCTCAAACCACAGGCACTGGCTAAACCAGTCCTGCTTTACCGCTAAGATGTGCTATCCAGTGGAGGAACCTCTGGAAGCCCTGAGAACAAACTGAACTCTACAAGTTAACTACGTTCAGAGAGAAAACAGAATTACTTATTTTTCTGTGATTGGCCACGAAACAAACCCAAACAGGATCTAATGGATTTATGAGACTGTGGAAAGACCTCAGGAAACTTTTCATAAACACCTTAACCTTCTCAAAAAATATGAACATAATTTGACCATTTAACTCCATGTTGCTCAAAACATTTGATGTGTGGCCACCATGTACCAATGACAAGGGTGGTCTGGACACCCACAGTTTGTTATCTCACTGTTTGATATTGCACACAAAACTGGAAAACCCTTGTGACAATCCAATCCAATCAGATTGCTTGACCAATACAAAACTTTTTGCATTCCTGTAGATCAAACAGTAGAGCATCGCGCTAACAACAGCAAAGTCATGATTAAATTTCCAGGAAATGCAAGAAACTCTGAAATATATACCTTGAATGCAAAGTCATTTTGGACCATCACTGTAATGTACATGTACATTTCAGGAGTTGGTTCACAGGTTTTTAATCACAAAATCATGTTTTGGCAACAGAAAATAAAACAGCAAAACACACACACACACACACATCTTACATACATATCATACATATATCAGCACTTCATCATCACCAAAAATTATGCTAGAGTAGCAATATGAATAATTTGTTCTTCTAAAATATTGAGAGGAGACTCATCGCCAAAGAACTTGACTAAGACTGGTTTAATTTATCACCTGAGAACAGCATAAAAGAGTTTAATTACACAAATGTAATCACCGATACCTTTATTTTCAGCTGTGGGTTTTGGCTAAATGAAAACTTTAGCTACAATTTCTGAGATTCTGTACAAAATTCATTTCAGTGCATCACTAGTTACTGGGTTGATATTATGAGCACGTCTAACAAACTAATTATTGCCAAAGTTTCCCAGGTTTGTGGCATTAAATATTTCATAACTGACTTTCATAATATGGAGAGGAACAGCTGAAACATTCAAAACATCTTCTTTTGTGTCCTACAGATTACCGCATCATTAATTGTCAAATAGACAATGAATGTACGCCTGTGACTGCACATCAGCTTAATTCTACATTACTGTGCCAAGGTACTAGTAATAAATGAAAAACGCTGGAGTAATTTTATAGCTGTCATTGCCATTTTATAAAAGCAATAAGCCACACAAGGCAGTGAGTTATTGTGATTTTACCACACATAAGGGGTTTGCCCACAGAAAGGTACATTTAACATATTTTTCATTATTTAACTACACTTGGGAGGTCAGGCAACTGCTCTTCACGCCAACTTCTGTATAATAGCTTCAAAGACAGATATCTTTTTGTAGCTGACATGGTTTTTACTTGGCACTTAGTGTCTTACTGCTTAGCGCAGCGTGCCAACATAAGCCAAAGCCTTATGGAACATAAGAATAAATCAACAAAATGCTCAGCTCTACAGATAAATGTCAAGACTTTGTCCGTCATCACATACAGTGAATATAAAAACATATCTATGAATTGCTGGCACAGGTAAAACATTCATTCTTTTCCAAGATGGGCTGTGTTCAGGGAACGCTTCCCCAAAGCAGATTAGTGGCCCAAATGTCTTCTTTGTGACTAGATTTCTTCCCTTCAGAGCAAAGTGCAAAGTTAAAGAACACAGCGCTGCCAACATCCTCTCATGCAAGGTTGGCGGTTAACCTCACTGTAAGCAAAGAAGGCCACCAGGTTACTGAGTCTGGATAGGCTACACCGGTATGAGAGGAGGCTTTTATAAATGGGTTTGTGTTCTATAGAGAACATAATCTTCATGTAATATCTCACACCATTATGGGAAAGCTTAACAGCACTCATCTTGGTTCATTTCCTCCACTTATGTCAGCTTATATTTGGGTGTATTATGATACCTGGCAATGCATCTAGAAACCGAATAATTCCAGTTTGTATTTACAGGATGAATCTGAAATCGTAGAGATGCTATAAGAACAATTTTATTCAGTGTATTTTCTGGATGCACTGATATTATTGATGAGGCAATAATTATTTTCAAATTACAGCCAATGGCAGATAAATTATTCATTTTCATAATCATTTTAAATACTAAATGAGAATTTAGGAATCACAACATTGTAATGTACCGAATGGAAAAAACAACATGTTGGGGATATCCAGGGACATCCTCATTTGTAAAAACAATATATATAAAAAAATTAAGAAAATACAACTAAAATCCTAACAATACATACAATTTTCTTTGGGGGTAAGGGTTTTGTTATAGTATTTATAATTAGCTCAGTATAAAAAGTAATTTATGGAATATCGCCATTTAGATAATAAAACGTGTTTGTATTTGTGTGTGTGTAAACATGTAAATAAAAATATGTTGTTGTTATTTAATTCAACAGCCTAAGAGCAATAGCATAAATTTCATAAGTCATCACAACCTAAAACTGAGTGGAATAATTCAGTCTCACTGCATTGTAACTGTTGCATTGTAACTATTATGACATGTTTTCAGGTTTATAAAATGTTGAGCGCAATTGCCTTTTAGATACCTCTCTCTGTAACTATGTATCTGTACTCTATTTGTCATTATGAAACATTCAGTGTTTCAGTAAATTTATTCAAACTGCATTGCCAAGATGCACTATTTAATCAATTTAGTTAATTGCATTTTATTAGGATTAATTTGGCCTGTACTGTAGATAAAATGTTCTGTAAAGGTCAGATGGCCCGGGGGGCTTCTTGCCCCTTTCATAATTTAAATTTTTTGTGCCATTACTAAATTGTTAATTGTTTCCATTTGATTCCCATAATAGTCTGTTGGGTGATGCATAACAATCCTCTACAGGCTAAACATACATGTAAATGAGTTACAGTTTATCAGTATATGCATGGGTATATTCAGTGGTGTAGTGGTGCCTGGAGAAGTGGGTATACTCTTAATA